AAGCCAATAATTGTGGCTTTCTTTGACCAATGGTAAGCAAAAGAAAGTGTCCTTTAAATCCAGGATGGCAAACCATTTCTGATTATTATTCGATTTAGTCAATCAGTCATACGAATTAACTACTACTGGATGAATATCCTCTGCAATTTTGTTGATTGCCCTGAGATCGTGAACCAGTCTGCAACTTTTCTCATCATATTTCTTTACTGTCCAGATAGGAGTATTATATTGCGATTCACATTCAATTAATAATCTATATTTTAAAATTTATCAATTTTTTTTTATTTCCACTTTAACAGGCAAAACATTTTTCAGGTTACCTGGAACTTCAGATGCCCATACTCCCACATATACCTGATTAAGGATTTCTTCTATTTCAGGGAGGTCCTCCTTTTTGCTTTTCTGTTGAATTAAACGCAAAACTGCAATTAATTGTTTTTAACTCTGAATTCCATTTTGCCTTCTTTAAATGTTGCTTCTCGCCCTAACAAAGATTTTAGAGAATTTGGCATGCATAAAAATTTATGCATTCCGATTTGTTTTCCCAATTTGTACTTTAAAGGTTCCAAAAAGAATGCCTTTTTTTTTTTTCTTTTTTTTTTCCTCTTTTCCTTGGTGGCCAGTAGCTCCCACATCTGTAACGAATTCTTTTCTCTCTTATTTAACACCAAATAAGTTACTCCTGTATCCACTAAAATTCCACTTTATTTCCCCTAGTTCATAGTCTTAATGTAACCAGTGGATCTGCTAGGGTATATTCCCCAGGTCCCCGTCAGTTTAGTTCCAGTTCAGTCACCGGAGCCACTCCATGGCACTGCCCTCCCCAGGCAGTCTCACTTCCAGCGTCCAAAACCCCCCATAGCACGCACACCGGTCCGGTCCCACAGAAGAGAAGAGCCCACTCCCCCACCTCCTGCAGACATCCCTCCTCCCACGCTCAAACACTGGAGCTGCTCGAGCTCCCCTCCTTTCCCCCTTGGTTTTCCTTTTTTTTTTTTTCTTTTTCTCACAGCAGCTCCCCCTGCTCTGCAGGGCCTGCAGATGCCTGCCTCTGCAACAGCACTTCTGGTTTAACCCCTTCTTAACTCTGAATGTGGATGTGCCGCTTGTTGCCAGTGACAGAAATCTCTTCCTCCTTATCAATATCAGATAGGACAGATGCAGAGGGTGCTCCTCTCGGAGGTACCTGTGGTACTTGATTTTCCACCCTGTCTTCCTGATTACTGTTTTTAACTTTAAACATCTTTCCCCAGTATCACAGGCTGAGCATCTCCAGCTTAACTTTTCGTTTTTCCCTGTCCTTTTCCAAAGCCAAAATTAAGGAATCTGGCGGAGCTATATTAATTCTGCATTCAGTCTGTCACTCTGTGTGGTTTCTTGAAGTGAAAAACATATCTGCATACATTACTTCATCCCATTTTCCTTGCCCCCTTAAAACAACATTAATTGTAACACTGTATTATAGTTCAGAGTTCCAATTTTAGGCCATTTTTCCTGATCTTCCAAAGTATACAAAGGCCACCATTGGTTACAATATTTTACCAATATTTTCTTATTTACCAAGCCCCCAGGAGACCCTCCAAGTTCTTTCCAGTGTGCCAAAATGCACCCAAAAGGATTCTTTTTCAAGATCTCTTCACTCTGCTGATTTTCCATTATCAATCTCACATTCACACACACACACAGATGGGATCCCCAGACATACTCCACACAGTTACAACACTTGAGACAAAGATAGAGACTTAAATTCAACCAACCAAACAACAGTTAATAACACAGTTATAACATCCTGTCACCAGTACCAGAATCACAAGACCAAAATCATTACTGTAACAAGCCACAAAATAAGGCGAATACCAGTAGAATCAAAAGCAATACTTCCTAACCCTTATAGCTCAGACCATATTGTAACATTAATAGGGGGGTTTCCTTGAACCCTTTATAGTTGACCAGCCTGTCAGTGTCCCAGGAAGGATGAGACCCTTGTGTCCGACCAGCCTGTCTGCGTCCCACTGTGGGAACCATACTGGACAGCGCCGGGAGACATGGGGGATCACTCCTCCTAACGTGTGTCCCCATACTGCTATACAAGTCATCCTTATGTAGTCCCTGGGCATACATACATATTCATGAGTCTACGTATGGATTACGTCATTTTCCAGAGAGTTCCCCGCATGCGTACAGAATTGTGGTGGTGGTCTCTGAGGGTCGTTTACTTCTTCCAACAATCTTCATCACTTCTGGCAGCCTTTGAAGCACGCGCAGTAGATGCTCATACCAGTTTAATTGATTCGTTAGCACCAGAGACATAATCCTCCTATCCTCCTACTTATCAGTCAGTTTAACTGCAGCCCATCCTGGACACCTGCAGTTCCCAGATACTCCTTATCCCTGTGTCCTGTTCTTCTAGACTGTTTTTTTCTTAAAACTATGCCAGCTATAACGATTTATCTTGTGAGAATTCTCAGTATGTTCTCTAGCTGTACTCTATTTTTTTTTCTCTATGTATCATGCACCTCAGTAATTTTCCATTGCTACTGTTACAAAGCCATCAACCTTAACGTTACTTTAAACTATTTATAAAGGTTTCTATATCCCATTTTGTGATTTTGTGCCCCTTTGTCTCATCAGTAAAATCAAAACTTTGGTTATAACTAAGAGCCCACTTCTTCAGAAGTGCAGAGAAAGTGGAGTAGCTAGTAGGAAACTCAAAATATTACTCTTCTGCTCAAATGTTTAGATCATTCTTTATTAATTATCTAATATCTGTTGGGGGCTTTGAAGACATAAAGCAGAGCATGGTTAAGTACTGACATACAGACTTCTTACTACTTCTTACTGCTTCTGAGAGTGTTTTTCATTGTGTTTTTTGTTGTTGTTGAGTTTTTTGTTTGTTTTTTATTTATTTATTTTTTAGCTTCTTCTCTGCACACCTCCCATTGTATAACAAGCAGCATTTTCTTTAGCGTGACTTTCATCTTGAGAGTTTGCTGCAAATACCAGCTCATCATGTCTTTGTGAGGGTGAAGGCAGGAAATGTTAACTCAGTGATGACAGTACATCTGGCAGTGTACGGGACATAAGTACAACGACCCTGCTCCTGGCAAGTTCATAAAGAAGCAGCTGAGTAGCATGGGTAACAAAGTTGTTGTGCCTTCCTGATTTCCAGGCATGGGCTCTTGATACAGAAGAGATGCTTTGTGTTCCCTGAGCTTGCCCTCCTGATGTATTTCAACACAGAGATCCCCAGTTCTGTTGCTACCAAAATGTTTTGGGCTTCATATGCTGTGAAGGCTTGTATTTGCTTTGGTGGTGGTCACAGCATATGGCAGTCTGGATGCTGTGGCTAGGTATGCCTTCTGTCTGTCTGTTCTTGCTCTTTGATGGTAAATAATAACTTTTACTATGCAGAACCAGTCAGAGGAACATGTCAGAAGCGACAGGGTGGGTCAGGAAAAGGTTAAGTAGCACAGAGCTGCCTGGTATTAATAACTTCCTTTTCATAAAAGATTGTTGGGTGTGCTTAAAGGAGCTACCAGAATCTTGTAGCCTTTCTGCTCCAAGGTCTTGACAATAACAGGTAAAAATCTGGTAATTTACGCTATGTTTTCTGTTGCACCAGCAGTAAATGTGCTTGCTAGGAGCAGCTGAAGTAAAACGTGAAACATGTTAAGATGAAGTCCTATTGATTTGTAACCTTGTGGGTTTTGGGTGGGGTTTGTTTGTTTGTTTGTTTGTTCTCCCTAAATATGCTTCTGTAAGCCTTGGGGTTTGTCTTTAGCTTTTCATTTCTGTCTGATGGCTGCCCAAGCTTGTTCCTGTACAAACCTTTGGGTTTGGAGGAGGAGGTAGCATATACTGAAATGGTGAATTTAGTCCCCTGGAAAGGTGCCACCTTGAGAGGAGCCAATGCCTCTGTTGAACAGTTCCATTGGTACAACCAGAGAGAGCTGCAATGGGTGCTTTTATCTCTCTGAGAATTGGCTGCCTTGGTGCTGGAAAACTTGCTGGGGCACCTTTCCCAGCTTGGGCTCTTCTGAGGTAGCCAAGCACTGTTGGTTATTGCTGAGGGGCACAAGGCAGGAGTTGCTGCTGTCATTTATATGGCTAAGGACATGCTGCAGCAAGAGAGCGCAGCCAAAGGGTAAGAGTTCTTAATCACCAAGAACTTTTGCCTATATGTAAACTAGTAATATTCCTAGTAATAGACAGCTCAACCAGTTCCTTGGGTCAGGCAGTTCTGTAATTCATGGGATTTTTTGTTTTCTGGAGTAAATTAAGCAGCTATATGGCTTAGGGTTTTTTTTTCCAGCTTTACATCTTGTCCCTTCCTGTTGCATTTATTGTGCTTGTTCTAAGCAAACATCTAATTTTTAACTTACTTGTATTGAGCACATGTTCATACTGAGCTTCTAGCAAAATTACATGGTGCAGGCAGTTATGAAGTTGATCTTCTTTGAAGGAATTTTGAATCTTTAGTCTGTAAAGCAGGTGGAGATTAGACGGCAATGCATGCACTGCCTGAATTAAACCTGATTTAAAATCCTAGTGTTTTTGTGAATGTATGCTGTCTTTGCTTTCATATCTATTCTGCATGCAGTGTAAAAGGTCCTGTAAAGATACAGGCTGTTTTTCTAGCATTACTGTAAGTTATGCTCCTGTGCTTCTTCAGGAGTCTGTGCAGTCTGCCAGGCCATGTGCTTATAGTTAGAAAATACACCCTGGTGTTTCACATGGAGATTTGGTGAGAGTGTTAGAGCTTGTAGATGAAATTCCAACCTCAGGCTCCATTGCTGTATGTGAAGGGTAGCACACTCTTGTCTAGTCTGCGACTATATCAGAATCAGTTCCTTATGCAGCTTAAACTCTGTATTTCCTTCTTGAAGGTACTATGATAAACCATGTTCATGAATTCAAGCAACATTTTCTTCTTTAGGAAGTGGAATACAAGAGTACAAATTCTGCAAGGTGATCCTTGATTTTTCCATCTTGCTCCCCATAACAAGCGTTGTTTTATACCCTCTGCAGACTATCAGGTACTGATGGATGTTTCTGACAGCCCTGAGCGAAACCCCTGCTCTCCTGATGAAGAGGAGCAGCAGCATTCCAATGATGAAGTCCTGAAGGAGAGTTATTCAGATCGGGAACTTGATGGAGAGGGTGGGCAAGGCAGCATTATGGGAGAGGAGGAGGATGCAACCAGGGGACTGAGTCATGGTGAAGAGGAGAACCACTCAGATGAAGAGGACCGCTTAAGTGAAACTAAGTCTCAGGAATCTAACAACAAGCAGAGTGGGGAACTGAAGAGCCCTCTGCTTTGCAAAGGAGAGGAGGAAGACCAGACAAATGACCTTGGTGATGAAGCATCCTCTGTCACCCGTGACCTAGATGAGCATGAGTTGGACTATGATGAGGATGTTCTTGAGGAACCAAGTGCTGCTGCTGTAGAGGAGGATGGTGAGAAAGCTGCTGGCGAGGATGACAAGGAAGAGGAGAAAGGAGATGATGCCCATGAAGATGAGAAAAAATCCAGCAGCAAAAGTGGTGATGAAAAGGATGGCCAGGATCCCCTCAAGGAGAAGAAGAAAGATGATGATGGAGAAATGGATGATGGAGAAATTGATGTAAGTAGGAGCTGGTCTGAGGTGGGCAGAGTCCTGCAGGGAGAGACCTGTCCTTGTGTTTCCAAACTGTTTGGCTCTTAGACTGTCATGCCTTCCTTCTTTGACATGAATTAGCTGTTAGCTGAGTCCCCAGTGTGCAAGTAACACACTTTCTCTTTGGAGGTAAGACCATAGTGTGTACCAAATCCTAAAATCAATGTCTAATGCTGCCTACTGTAGAAAAGCTTTGTGCCAAATATTGTCAGAGCTGTCGCAAATAAGCTTTGTTCCCATTGATGAACACAGAAGGGCTCCAGTGCTGCCTCAGCTCTTGGAAGACTTTTGAGTGCTGCTGACAGCAAATAACTATGGATTAGGTGTTCATAAGCTGTCTTATCGGTTGAGGTTAAAAGGCAGGTGCTGGGGAGTGACTGCCATGCTTGAGGCACCAGGCATGTGCGGGAAGCCTGTGGCCCTGAGCTGGTTCTTGGCCTCTAGCAGTATCCGAATGCATGGAAGAAGAGCGGAAGGTGCTGGGCTCTCTGGAAAGTGCCTAACCAGGAAGCCCCTGCATGTGGTTTGGTTGATGTGTTCAGGGATGTGTAGTCCCAGTAGCTGCTGTTTCACAGCTGGGGACAAATGCAGTTATTTAGAAAAATCAAAACCTGTCTTTAATTGCATTTCTGTTTGCCCTAATCACCACTCTATCCATCTTTGTCTTTAGGTGGGAAGCACTGCAGTACAGCAGTTGTGCTTAATACAGCTGAATACCAGTTTTCCTCTTGCAGGCAGAAGAAAACAGGACAAAGCAATTCTAGCAATAGAGTACCTCCTTGTGGGTTCCTGGTCTGATGGACACCTCGCTTGAATCTGAATAGTGGGAGTGCAAAGCGCTGCAAAGAGAAGTTGCTGGCCCACAGCACCTGTCTGTCTCTGCTTCTGTCTCTCCATGCCAGAAGGGGTCCTGCACAGCTAGGCTAGGTTGGGGCACCGTTGTGAGTGTCCTGGTGACCAGACAAAGAAGCAATGGGCTGTGGATGGGGTCACCTAGTGTGGATCTCCTCAGCTGAGGAGGGGAGGGTTCAGACTGGAGAGGTGGTGTTGCCTTCCAGTCCCTGTAGCTGTGTAGCTGCCCTGGCCATCTGCTCAGGAAGCTCATGGAACCTTGCTGGAGAGACCTTCCTCCCTTTTCACTGAAGAGTCATATATTGTGTGGTTTTTTGCTCCAATGGTGCTTTGACAATTCTGTTGCTTAAAAAAAGGTGACATAATTTTTCTTTTTCATGCCTATTCTGGCAGGTGATTTTGTTAAACATGTATTTTCCAAAAGTTTTGTGTGTTTCTGATTTGCTTGGAAGGAATTCCAGCATGCTGTGGGAGAGTCCAGGCAGGGGGAGAAAAAAATTCCTGGAGTCCTGACTCCATGCCTGCTTCTTGATTAAAATATGAATGCTTTCCTTTAAAGTCTAAGGCATTCTTGGAAGTGCTTTCCTTACAAAGCACAAGATGAATCTGTACTCTGGTTTTCATGCATTATCTTATAAGAGGGCTCCCAGCTGCCTGATTCCAAGGAGACCTCACAGAAATACTTCGACTTTTGTTCAAGTATAGCATTTGCAAAGACTTCACATAGTTCCTTTGAAAGAAGTAGAGCTGAGATGGTTATGCCATTCACACGTTGCTGAATGCCATCCCCAGCATAGGGAAAACTGTTAAAACTCTACATTTTATTCTGCTTTCAGACTTCTGTCTTAGAATCATAGAATAGTTAGGGTTGGAAAGGACCTTAAGATCACAGAATCACAGAATCCGAAGGGTTGGAAGGGACCTCAAAAGATCATCTAGTGCAACCCCCCCGCAAGAGCAGGGTAACCTAGAGTACATCACACAGAAACTTGTCCAGGCGGGCCTTGAATGTCTCCAACGTAGGAGACTCCACAACCCCCCTGGGCAACCTGTTCCAGTGCTCTGTCACTCTCACAGTAAAAAGGATTTTCCTAATGTTCACATGCAACCTCCTATGCTCCAGTTTACACCCATTGCCCCTTGTCCTATCACTGGACATCACTGAAAACAACCTAGCTCCATCATCCTGACACTCACCCTTTACGTATTTGTAAACATTGATGAGGTCACCCCTCAGACTCCTCCAAGCTAAAGAGACCCAGCTCCCTCAGCCTCTCCTCATAAGGGAGATGTTCCACTCCCGTAATCATCTTTGTGGCTCTGTGCTGGACTCTTTCAAGCAATTCCCTGTCCTTCTTGAACTGAGGGACCCAGAACTGGACGCAGTATTCCAGATTGGGCCTCACCAAGGCAGAACAGAGGGGGAGGAGAAGCTCTCTTGACCTACTAACCACACCCTTTCTAATACACCCTAGGATGCCATTGGCCTTCTTGGCCACAAAGGCACATTGCTGGCTCATGGTCATCCTCCTATCCACCAGGACCCCCAGGTCCCTTTAACCTTCACTACTGTCCAGCAGGTCAACCCCCAACCTGTACTGGTACATGGGGTTGTTCTTCCCCAGATGCAAGACTCTACACTTGCCCTTGTTGAATTTCATCAAATTTCTCCCTGCCCAACTCTCCATCATGTCCAGGCCTCGCTGAATGGCAACACAGCCTTCTGGTGTGTCAGCCACTCCTCCCAGTTTAGTGTCATCAGCAAACTTGCTGAGGGTACACTCAGTTCCCTCATCCAGGTTGTTGATGAAAATATTAAACAGCACTGGTCCCAGCACAGACCCCTGAGGGACTCCACTAGTCACAGACCTCCAGCTAGATTCTGCCCCACTGACTACAACTCTCTGCCTTCTTCCCTTCAACCAGCTCTTGATCCACCTCCCTACCTGATCGTCAAGCCCACACTTCCTTAGCTTATCTATGAGGATGCGGTGGGAGACAGTATCAAATGCCCTACTGAAATCAAGGAAGTTCCACCCCCCCTGCTATGGGCAGGGACACCTCACACTAAACCATGTCACCCAAGGCTCTGTCCAACCTGGCCTTGAACACTGCCAGGGATGGAGCATTCACAACTTCCTTGGGCAACCCATTCCAGTGCTTCACCACCCTCACAGTAAAGAATTTCCTTATATCTAATCTAAACTTCCCCTGTTTAAGCTTGAACCCATTACCCCTTGTCCTATCACTAGAGTCCCTAATGAACAGTCCCTCCCCAGCATCCCTGTACGCCCCCTTCAGATACTGGAAGGCTGCTATGAGGTCTCCATGCAGCCTTCTCCAGACTGAACAGCCCCAACTTTCTCAGCCTGTCTTCACACAGGAGGTGCTCCAGCCCCGTCATCATCCTCGTGGCCCTCCTCTGGACTTGTTCCAACAGTTCCATGTCCTTTTTATGTCGAGGGCACCAGAACTGTGCGCAGTACTCCAAGTGAGGTCTCATGAGAGCAGAGTAGAGGGGCAGGACAACCTCCTTCAACCTGCTGATCACACTCCTTTTGATGCAACCCAGGATACAGTTGGTTTCTGGGCTGCGAGCGCAAACTGAAGCTGACTCAAGTTTCTCATCGACCAACACCCCCCATTCCTTCTCCGCAGGGCTGCTCTGAATCTCTTCTCTGCCCAGCCTGTAGCTGTGCCTGGGATTGCTCTGCCCCAGGTGTAGGACCTTGCACTTGGCGTGGTTAAACTTCATAAGACTGTCATCAGCCCACCTCACAAGCATGCCAAGGTCCCTCTGGATGGCATTCCTTCCTTCCAGCATATCAACTGAATCACACAGCTCAGTGTCATCGGCAAACTTGCTGAGGGCACACTCAGTCCCACTGTCCATGTCACCGACAAATATGTTGAACCAATATTCCTGCAACCAGTTGCCTCAACCAGGAGAGATTGGGTAACCGTGAAGTTAACTTTTTCCATGTTTCTTCAAAAGCCCAGGAGGTGTCATCCATGGCCATTTCATGAAATATCTTAGTTTGTTTCCAAATTTCCTCCAGATCTGTTTCAATTCTGCCACTTTGGTCTATATAGGAACAACAGTTTTCATTTTTTATGGAACAAACCCCTCCTTGTGATGCCAATAACATGTAAAATTGGGTATTACAGCACCTAAGGTGCATGCCCCCTTCTAGTTGGGGGGTAGAGTCTTATAAGCATTTTTTCCACATAACCAATACCATCCTTTCCCTTTAGGAATGGGCCACCATTGAACTATAATACCATCTATATTAATAGTATGATTACAATTTGAGTGGTGACCTACATCTGTGGCATTTAAACAAGCAAAAATTCTTACCCTGGTTTCTGATGTAATACATCTTTGTGCACAGGTATAATATTTATTACCTATATTAGGATTAACTATTCCAAATTTAAAACTTTCGTTTGAATACAGATTGCTAGTGTTCACCCACAAATTTGTCCATGAAACAGTGTTAGGAATTGGAACTCCAATTAATGGGAGATCCAGGCTTTCTCCTGATTTAGGCAACTGTGCACACACCCCACAGTCACTACGATTAAAAACATTAGTAACATTCTGCACTAATTTCAGATATAAGTTCTGGTCCCAAGCTTGTGTGGCAGTTATCACGAGTCCAAATTATGACCGATGCAATTTCATACATAAGGGTCCTGAAGGTTTGATCCGCCATGTCTTCTCTGGCTCTGGTGCTTTCTTAATTCTTGAATAATGTATCCAAGCAGGTTGTTCTTTTATTTTCACTGCTGTAAAGGTGATCAATAATATCTGGTATAGTCCGCTCCACTTCTCCTGTAGAGGATCTCCTGAAAAATTCTTAACATAAACCCAGTCTCCAGATCTGAAAGTGTGAACTGGATAATCCAAACCTCTTGCTCTTGTCCCTATTATTCTCTTATTTATCTCCTCCAATTGTTTTTTGAGATTGATCAGAAACTGTTAGAGATAGCCTTCTCCCACCTCCTGAAGACTCTCTCCTTTAAACTGGGACTGATATGGTCTTCCATACAAAATCTCAAATGGGCTAACCTCTTCTTTTGACCGGGTTTTAGTTCGAATTCTTAATAAAGCCAGTGGTAATGCCTGGCACCAATATAAATTTGTTTCCTGACATATTTTACTAATTTGTTGTTTAATTAGATGGTTCATCTTTTCTACTTGCCCACTGGCCTGAGGCCTATATGGAACATGTAGTTGACAATCAATTTCTAATTTTTTGCTAATTTCTTGTAACAATTTGGCACTAAAGTGCGAGCCTCGGTCAGAAGAAATTGCCTCTGGTACCCCAAAACGAGCTTATTATATCATTAAATAATATTTTAATCACTTGTTTTGCATTATTTATTCTATAAGGGAATGCTTCTGGCCAGCCTGAAAAAGTATTCGTTAACACCAATAAATATCAATAACCCCCTTTTTTTTTTTTTCGGTAATTCAGAAAAATCTATTTGCCACTGCTGTCCAGATAACTTCCTCTCCCAGTTGTCCCAGTTTGATTTCTATTTTCAGTCTTAGGATTATTCTTAAGACATAGCTGACATTGTTTGTCACTAATTGAACTGTGGTGTATAGATTCAGTACTCCAGGAACAAACTTGCCAACAAAGTTTTCAAGCTGACAAGCAGGTATTCTTTATAGCGGTGCCGGGAGACATGGGGGATAACTCCTCCTAGCGTGTGTCCCCGTATTGCTATACAAGCCATCCTTATGTAGTCCCTGGGCATACATACATATTCATGAGGCTACATATGGATTACGTCATTTTCCAGAGAGTTCCCCGCATGCGTACAGAATTGTGGTGGTGGTCTCTGAGGGTCGTTTACTTCTTCCAACAATCTTCATCACTTCTGGCAGTCTTTGAAGCATGCGCAGTAGATGCTCATACCAGTTTAATTGGTTCCTTAGCACCAGAGACATAATAATCCTCCTATCCTCCTACTTATCAGTTAGTTTAACTGTAGCCCAGCCTGGACACCTGCAGGTACTCCTTATCCCTGTGTCCTGTTCTTCTAGACTGTTTTTCTTAAAACTAGGCCAACTATAATGATTTATCTTGTGAGAATTCTCATTATGTTCTCTAGCTGTACTCTTTTTTTTTCTATGTATCATGCACCTCAGTAATTTTCCATTGCTACTGTTACAAAGCCATCAAATTTAACATTACTTAAAACTAATTCTAAAGGTTTCTATATTCCATTTTGTGATTTTGTGCCCCTTTGTCTCACCACCCTTTGCTCTCAGTGTAGTTTTTAACAGCCCATTGTACCGTTCAGTTTTCCCAGAGGCTGGTGCATGGTGCGGGATGTGATATACCCATTCAGTGCCATGCTCTTTGGCCCAGATGTCTATAAGCTTATTCCAGAAATGAGTCCCATTGTCTGACTCAGTTCTCTCTGGGGTGCTGTGTCACCACAAAATCTGTTTCTCGAGGCCCAGGATAGTGTTCCGGGCAGCGGCGTGGGGCCCAGCGTATGTTTCCAGCTATCCGTTGGTTGCTTTCACCATGGCAAGCACATGGCGCTTGCCTTGGCATGTTGGTGGCAGTGTGATATAGTCAATCTGCCAGGCCTGCCCATATTTATACTTCAGCCATCCTCCTCCATACCAAAGAGGCTTTAACCATTTGGCTTGTTTAATTGCAGCACGTGTTTCACACTCATGAATAACCTGGACAGTACTGTCCATTGTTAAGTCCATCCCTTGATTGCGGGCCCATCTATACATTGCATCTCTGCCCTGATGGCCTGAAGTGTCATGAGCCCACCGGGCCAAACATAATTCACCTTTATGTTGCCAATCTAAGTCCATCTGAGCCACTTCAATCTTAGCAGCTTTATCCACTTGTTGTTTGTTCTGGTGTTCCTCAGTGGCCCGAGTCTTGGGTACATGGGCATCTACATGACGTACCTTCGTCACCAGGTTCTGCACCCGGGAAGCAATATCTTTCCACGGTGCAGCAGCCCTGATGGGTTTACCTCTGCGTTGCCAGTTGCTCTGCTTCCATTGCTGCAACCACCCTCACAGGGCGTTTGCCACCATCCATGAGTCAGCATAGAGATAAAGTACTGGCCCCTTTTCTCGTTCAGCAATGTCCAAGGCCAGCTGGATGGCTTTCACCTCTGCAAACTGACTCGATTCATCCTCTCCTTCAGCAGTTTCTGCAACTTGTCATATGGGACTCCATAGAGTTGCCTTCCATCTCCGATGCTTTTCCACAGTACGGCAGGACCCATCAGTAAACAAGGCATACTGCTTTTCACTTTCTGACAGTTTATTCTATGGTGGGGCCTCTTCAGCACGCATCACCTACTCCTCTGGTGACATTCCAAAATCTTTGCCCTCTGGCCAGTCCATGAGGACTTGTAGAATGCCTGGACAACTGGGATTTCCTGTTCGAGCTCGTTGTGTAATTAGTGCAGCCCACTTACTCCATGTAGCATCGGTTGCATGATGCGTAGAGGGAACCCTCCCTTTTAACATCCAGCCTAGCAGAGGCAACTGGGGTGCCAGGAGGAGCTGTGCTTCAGTGCCAATCACTTCCGAAGCAGCTCAAACCCCTTCATAGGCTGCCAGTATCTCTTTCTCAGTTGGTGGGGTATAGCTGGCCTCAGATCCTCTGTATCCCCGACTCCAAAAGCCGAGGGGTCGACCTCGAGTATCCCCTGCATCTTTCTGCCAGAAGCTCCAGGTAGGACCATTCTCTCCGGCTGCAGTGTAAAGCACATTTTTCACATCTTGCCTGGTCTGGACTGTCCCAAGGGCTACTGCATGAACTATCTCTTGTTTAATTTGTTCAAAGTCTTGTTGTTGCTTAGGGCCCCATTTAAAATCATTCTTCTGTGTCACGTGATAAAAGAGGGCTTACAATCGAACTGTAATTTGGGATGTGCGTTCTCCAGAGCGCCACTGCACCCAAGAAAGCTTGCGTTTCTTTCTTATTAGTTGGTGGAAGCATTTCTCTTTTCTTGTTGATCACATCTGTGGGGATCTGGTGACGTCCATCTTGCCATTTTATTCCCAAAAATTGAATCTCTTGTGCAGGTCCCTTGACCTTACTCTGTTTTATGGCAAAACCGGCTTTCAGCTGGATTTGGATTGTTTTCCTCCCTTTCTCAAAAGACTATTTCCACTGTATCACCCCACACAATAATGTCATCAATGTATTGCAGGTGTTCTGGAGCTTGCCCCTGTTCCAGTGCAGCCTGGATCAGTCCATGGCAAATGGTAGTGCTGTGTTTCCAGCCCTGGGGCAGTCAGTTCCTCCGCTGCCAGAGGAACTGAGAAAAATGCATTGGCAATGTCAGTTTTGGCATACCACTTGGCTGCCTTTGATTCTAATTTCTACTGAAATTCTAGCATGTCTGGTACCGCAGCACTCAATGGTGGTGTGACTTCATTCAGGCCACGATAGTTACTGTTAGTCTCCACTCTCTGTTAGACTTTCGCACTGGCCATATGGGGCTATTAAAGGGCAAGCGGGTCCTGCTGATCACTCCCTGACTCTCCAGGCTACGGATCAGCTGATGGATGGGAATCAGGGAGTCTCAGTTGGTGCTGTATTGCCGCCGGTGCACTGTTGTGGTCGCGATTATCACTTGTTGTTCGGTGGTGAAATTCCAAAGTCCTGGAGGGGTCCACTGACCTAGATAATTGCCCATATTATCCTACACACCCTTGCGACTCATGACTGTCCAGCCTCGGGGAAAGTCTCTTGGTCCTCCTATATCGTCCTTTAACCCCAGACAAGAACCAAACCTGACTCTGATTAACTCTTGAAATCAGACGAAATGTGGAGGAATGTAGCAGCAGAATCTGTTAACAAGTCTCTCAAGAGATCCTTTGTTTATTTACAGCCAAGGGATGGGTTTTTTTCTTCCTTTTCAGCTGCTAAATTGGTCTAAGTACATAACTTTCCTTATCTTCTCCATGTAGACAACTGCTGTCTCTGCCACAAGGTAGTTGTAATTGCCACACAAAGGGAAGGCCTCCAGCAGATGCTCCTTCTGCAGATTTTTGAGATGCTGAAAACTTCTGTGGTGTCAAATGGAGGCAGAGTGAGGGAAGGCCAGGGTGCCGTTTAGATTGAATAGTTGATTTCCTTGCCAGATACCTCTGACAATTCTCTAGTCATGTATGTCTTTGTGTTCTGCATTGCCTCCTTTTGATTTTTCAGCTGCAGACTCATGAAGCCAGTGAAGGTTGAGGGTTGGTGTGTTGGTTTTTTTTGTTATTTTTTCCTGGAGAACAAAGGCAAAGGCTGGTACTTTAAAAGTTTTAACACTTTTGAACAAAAGTTTCAACACATTTGTTCAACACACAATAACCTTCAACTTCTTGAGGTGTTTCATGACTTATTTCATGCTCATTCTCTGTGGTGGTTAATCTTCAAAACAATCTCTGTCTCCCAGACTTTCTTCCTGGGGCTGCAGTGCCTGAGGATGCTGTAGAGTTTTATTTGGGCTGATTCAGAATTCTTGCCTGGAGGTAAGGAGTAGAAGGGAAGGTGTCAGGTTGTTGCCAGAGAGGACTGGAAGAAATATGTATGACTTTTTTTCCTGAGAAGCCTGTGTGAAGTTGTTCCTCAGCACTGTGGGGAAGCATGTTGGAAATAGTTATGGTAATAGCAGTTGTCCTTCAGAACTGGATAAATGCTGCTGGGTTATTGCATTAACGCAGGAATACCACTGTGTATTTTAAATAGAAGGAATTGGCTTGAGCTTAAATAGAAATGACATGAGTGCCAAGCAGGGGACAGTCTAGTATATATCAGGTAAAATTATACAGCTTGAAACCTTCATCTGTGGTGTGGCATCAAGATGTCCATAACACCTGGAGGGTTTGGCAGTCACTTTTGAAACACCGAGGTTGATGCATCTTTCTGTTTGTAGCATCACATTGCAAAGATGCTGTGGGGTATTTATTGTAACTTTATTTTGTTTTTCTCTTCTGTTTCGCTCCAGGGTATGTTTTCAGTGACTTATATTTGACTATATTGTGAAATGTCAAGTCGCTGCAGAAAATACACCACATGAAATGTCAGCTTGTCTGTCTGTTCCAGGATGATGACTTAGAAGAAGGAGAAGTTAAAGACCCCAGCGACAGAAAAGTGAGGCCACGTCCCACCTGCCGATTCTTCATGAAAGGTAATGACATATGTAATGGCAGAAGAAAACCAAAGGTGCTGTAATTTTTCTTGTTTGATTTTTTACCCCTTAAGCTGCTGTCTGCATGATAAACTCTGCCCCAGGCATCCCCAGTATCACCTTTCTGTTCCTTGGCAGCCAGATGCTGAATTTATACAGAGCCAGTATGCAAAAGTAGCTTTGCCATAAGAGTGGTGAGCCTGTGGAAGCAAATAAGGGAAAACTTAGAATCATAGAATGGTTTGGGTTGGAAGAGACCTTAAAGCTCATTTAGTTCCAACCCCCTGCCATGGGCAGGGGCACCTTCCACTGGACCAGGTTGCTCCAAGCCCCATCCAACCTGGCCTTGAACACTGCCAGGGATGGGGCAGTCACAGCTTCTCTGGGCACCCTGTGCCAGCGCCTCACCACCCTCACAGGGAAGAACTTCCGCCTAAGATCTCATCTCAGTCTCCCCTCTGTCAGTTTAAGGCCATTCCCCCTTGTCCTGTTCCTACAGGCCCTTGTCAAAAGCCCCTCTTCAGTTTTCTTGTTGGCCCCTTTAGGCACTGGAAGCTGCTCTAAGGTCTCCCTGGAGTCTTCTCCAGGCTGAACAAACCCAGCTCTCAGCCTGTCTCCATAGTAGAGGTCCTCCAGCCCTTGGAGCATCTTCATGGCCTCCTCTGGACTCCCAACAGCTCCATGTCCTTTTTGTGTTGGGGGCCCCAGACTTGCTAGTGTTTTTTAAACAGAATGGAATAAACCTGCTTTGTCTTACCGTAAATTTTTTTTAGTAATTCTTAATAGGACATTTCCCAAAGTTTGGGCAACTCCACAACAGCTATCTTAGACTATCCTGCTTTTTTTTAAATATAGTGTAGAGAGTTAGGTTTTATAAAAGATTTCTTATTTAAACTGATTATATCTGAATAATATAATCTTTCACTTCCTCCAGCTTCATCTCACTTAATGTTTGTTCATTTATTTGGTTTTATTTGAAGTCACCCTTGAAACAGTTTATGAATATCTGTAATTAAAAGGGCAGAAAACAGGGTGGAGTCTCTTACTGTTTACATCAGTGCTGTAATGCAATGTAGGGAGCTGCTTAGGGGGTTTCCAGAGACATGACCATCGCATATCGCATACTCTGCTTCCTGAATGTCTTTCGGTATCAGATTTTTTCCATGTGCTGAGACACAAAGGTGTTGGTGATGATGATGGTGGAACAGGGAAGTCCCTCAGGAAAGAGAGCTATTTGTTCCTGAATCCTTAGCATGACACACACCTCATGCAGCATGGAAATATTTGCTTGAGTCAAAGTTCAGACTGCAGGATCTCCTGTAGTTGTTATTCTTTGATTTGGTGTCAGTTAACATTGACACTTGCTCCTTCTTGGCCCATAAAGGCTTTACTGCCACCAAGAAGGTCAGGCACTGCTCACGTGGGACCTTCAAGACATTCAGGTTTTTCTCTTTACTGTGTTGGAGGAGCACTCGTGGCTGCATCTATCCAGTGGTGTGAATGACTAGCTTGCAAGGCCTTCCAGCAAACTTGCTGTATAGCCACCTTGATATACATAGCAGGACTCGTTATTTTCAGGGTGACCATTCCCCTTGACACCTCAGTAGGAAGTGTTGGCATAGGTGTCTGGTATCCCCTACACCCAGTGCTCAGGCACTGAGAAAGGATAAGCCACTGTGCAAAGGGATTTGTGCTCTTGTTATAATTGACAGTGCAAAAGCATCCAGTGTTACCTCTGACAACAGCTCGTGATTAATCTGGGACTGATGAGGAGCATTTCCAGGGACCCAGGTGCGGTATGAATTTCTGACATGTTACCCTGCCAGCCAAGGTCAGGGTTTCTTCCCTGAGCCCCAGCAGTGTTAACAGCTCCCTTGCCCCTCCAGCCAGTGCACTAACACCTGAGCTACTGCAGAATTAGCAATAACTTTGTGATGCAATTGTCTGCTGAGAGATCTGCAAAATGTCTCTTGCCTAATGTTAAGTGTATTGCTGGAAGAAAACAAAAAAAGGGGTTTGTTTCTGAGGCAAGGTAAATTAAAGTTGGGAATTAGCTTTGCATCCTGTTAGAGACCCCTGAGTGTTACAATTTCCTTGGGGGTGGTATTTGAAGCTAATGAGCAGCTTTCAGATTTGTCTGTTGCACTCCACAGTGATGTCTCCTTTCCTGCTTTGTGCTGGCAAGCTTGTGGATTCAGCTGGGGGGAAAAGCTTTGATGTACTTTATGCCTCACCAGAGTGCTGTTTATTTTGAATGCCCTGTGATGCTTTTTTTGCTCTCAGTTTATATGCATTCATTGTTTTCTGTAAAAGGTAAAGCTTCTAACTTGGAGTATTTGTCATTAATAAGACCTGAAGAGCTCATAGGCTTATTACTGCATTTGCCTAATGGTGTGTATACATCTATCTCTCCTTTCTCCTCACCATAATGAGGTTCTTGTACATTCATCCATCTGTGACTGGATCTATTTGTCTTCTCTGGGAAGGTGGTGGGTGATGAGTGTCATGTCTATGAAAACAGGTAAATCTCAAGAGCTAGAGAGAAGAAAAATCACGTCTCAAACAGTGTTGTTCCTTGCTTGGTTTTAAAAAGTTGTGGGGATGAACAAATGTTTGCTGTAGGCATACAGGGGTCTAACAGAACTGTATTTCCACAGGTCACTGTACTTGGGGCATGAACTGTCGATTTATTCACCCTGGTGTGAATGACAAAGGAAACTACTCCTTGATCTCCAAGCCTGAGCCCTTCTCCCCAAATGGCGCTCCTCCCATTGGCCCTCACCCACTGATGCCAGCCAACCCTTGGGTATGGGTATCTGTTCTGTGGATTTATAGCTTCTGCACATAGCTTTTGTCTCCTGAGAGAAGTGAAGAAGCTTGGATATTTTAGCACTTTAACAACATTAGTCACTATCCAATTCATCAGTTTGATATATGATATTTTAAAAGGTGGTCTTGTAGTTGCTAGTAGAGGGGAATAATTTTCCATGTATGTCTCAGCTTATGTCCTGCTAATATATCTCCAGAGTGTCTGGAGGTACTCTGGGTTAACAAAGCATGAGTTTGTTACTTAAAACTAATGTCAAGTGTCTGACTCCGTCCTCTTCTCACCTTTCCAACAGGGAGGGCCAGTCGTTGATGAAATCTTACCTCCACCCCCTCCAGAACCTCCAACAGAAAGTGCCTGGGAGAGAGGACTCCGGCACGCTAAAGAGGTAAGTGCCATCCTCAGGAAGCATGCTGGTGTCTCCAAAATCCGGTGGCCTGTTTCACTGGGCGCAGGGAGCTCTCTTTGGAGCATGTAGTGTCTTGCTCCTTCTGAGCAACCTTCCTTTTGCCTTTTAACCTATTAACTGTGTCTTGTATATCACAGTTGTTGCACAGTCAAGAGGAGCAGATGCCCAGGTTTGTTTTTTTTTTGTTTTGTTTTGGGTTGGGGTTTTTTTTGTTGTTGTTTTTTTGTTTGGTCTTTTTTTGGTTTTTTTTTTTTTTTTGTTTTTTGTTTTTTTTTTTATAATATTCACATGAGCTAGGGGGAGTTTGTGGCCCTGAAGTCAAGCCCTCCACAAAGCAAACCTTTCTAAGCTGATCCAGTTTCCCTTACTTCAGTAACTGTTTCTCTACCATGGATTAGATTCACGTGTCTGATCACTGCAGAAAATGGGGTTAGCATGTGTGAAACTTATTGCCTGTCTGCTGTTGTTCTGAGCTAATGGAATAGTGAATTACATTTTGTACATCAAGGAAAGTCCAGTGTCCTGCACATTCATGAGACCTGGGCAAAAGAAGGTTGTTTTAGTTGAAGGGCAGGTTTCTCCCAAGTGAAGGATATTTAAGACTGCAGTTTCTCTGGGTCTTGGAAATATTCTCTCTTTACAATGTTTTTATATTTTGACAGGTATTAAAAAAGGCGACTATGAGAAAAGAACAGGAGCCTGACTTTGAGGAGAAGAGGTTCACTGTGACTATTGGAGAAGACGAGAGTGAATTTGACAAAGAAAATGAGTTATTTCGCGACTGGAATTACTGCATCACCAGAGACGTCAGAGATCCAGCGTAAGATGCAGTCTTGGTTTTGCTATATGGAATAGATGGGGGGAAATGTAGTACAGGATGGCAGTCTTCAGTGAACTTATTCCTCCAAATTAGAGGAATGCTCACCTCAGAAAATGGAAACAACTTCAGTTAAGCAGTATGTACACCAGTTAAAAACTTGATCTGCCTCTGCTCACTCCAGTTCAACACTACCTTCCTGTATAATTGTCGCTAAACCTTTCTGCCTTCAATGTCATTGGTACACAGGTCCTTCAAGGACACTGTCTAGTTGTGCACTGCCTGTGTCACACCAATGCATTCTTCCAACTGTTTTTCCCTCTTGTTTTTCTTATTCCAACCCATGAGAGTTTTAAAATGCTAAAGCTGAGGCTGCAAAGCTGGAATATGCTCAAGGTCCAAGAGCTTCAGGGCAGCAGTTGTACTGTCTTGACCAGCTGGGTGTTTATTTGCAAGGGCATTGGCACAGCAGCTGGTCTTAAACATCTTGACCAGTCTCAGATATACTGCTGAGTAAGACAGTGGTCAGAAAGCAATTCTGTTATCTGCCAGGGCATAGCCTGGACCAAACAAACATACTAAACTTAAGTGTCTAGGTGATTGTTTTTTTTAAGGAGGTGAAATATAAATTGTTGGAGACATTCCTGTTACACACTCCTGTTGCAACTGAAAGCAGGTAGGAGAAGGCAGAAGGGTGAATCAGTCAGCTCTGGGAAACTTGCTTAGTGCTTCTTGAGCCAAGAAATCAAATGGAAAAAGATTTTTTTGAGAGAGGGGCTTGTATTCTGCAGGAATACAGGTGAGTCTCTTTCTCTTGATCTTATATCTTCTGTTCTTCCTACACATACAGACTATGGAAATATTTCCACTCAGAAGTGTTTGCAAGGCTTGGTTGTGTCTATTTTAGAGTGAGTGAATTACGAAAAAACCCAAAGCCTCTGAAAATGAATAAGGAATGGGTTAAGCTTTTGTTCTTCGATTTGCTGTGGAGTGCAGTTTTTTCACCCATTTAAAAAAAGAAGCTCTGTACTCAGTTCTGCAGCCTGAAACAAAACAGTTGCTCTATATTATTTTTTCCCTGGGTTAGAAATAGATCCGTATCTTGATCTTCTGTTCCTCTGAGAAGGCTTTCAATTGCACCTGACACAGATCACCAGTGCTCTGTGGATCTTTATGACTGTATATGGAAACTAGCATCAGTGTTCCAGTAGTTCTGTGCCACTGCCTTACTAATGTAGGAATTGTGTTAGGTACAGGACTTCCTGTTTTCATATAGTCAAGAAAAAACTTTTGCATGTTGCCAGTATTAATTCCATTTGTTAGATGTTGTGGTTTAAGCCCAGCCACGCATCCTCTCTCTCACTCCCCCCCTTCCTCCCCCTGCTCCCGGAGGGATGGGGAGGAGAACTGAAAGAATGTAACTCCCACGGCTTGAGATAAGAGCAGTCCGGTAACTAAGGTATAACACAAACCACTACTGCTACCACCAATAATAATAATGATAAGGGAAATAACAAGGGAAGAGAATACAACCGCTCACTATCCGCCAACCGATACCCAGCCCAACTGAGCAGTGATCTAGCCCTTCTGGGTAACTCCCACCAAGCAGTGATCTAACCCTTCTGGGTAACTGCCCCCAGTTTATATAGTGGGCATGACTTGCTGTGGTATGGAATACCTATTTGGTTAGTTTGGGTCAGGTGTCCTGTCTCTGCTTCCTCCTGGCTTCCCCTCCTCCCTGACAGAGCATGAGACTCAGAAAGTCCTTGCTCAGACTTAAACATTACTGAACACCAACTAAAAACATTGGTGTTATCAGCGCTGTTCCCAGGCTCAAAGTCAAAACCACAGCACTGCACCAGCTAGTAAGAAGGAGAAAAATGACTGCTACTGCTGAACCCAGGACATTTGATTACTTGTTTAATGAAAATTCAAGCACCTTTATGTAGAAGTAGATTGTGGCATTAACCCCTCTTGATTGTGCATAAAGGCAAAAGTTATGATGCTGCTGCTGTAAACTATCATGGCTTGACTTCGCGAACGAAGATTTGGGAAGGGCATTTACCCACGCTTACTACAGGCGCGCTGATGACTAAGAAGGCCAATGTGGGATAGGCAAATCCGGCTACAAAAAGCACAGCAGAAGGTCTCCTTGGGTGGAACAGGTGGGACACGATTCTTCCTGTGTTGTCTTTTCTCCTCGAGACTAGTTCTTCGTGAACTCTCAAAGGAGTCAGCGGCATTATGTATGGTGTGCCTCCAAGTCTCCCGATTGGAGGCCAAGGTGGACCACTGATGGTAGTCAATATGGCCAAGGCTAAGGCATTGTTTCAGGGAGTCCTTGTATCTCTTCTTTGGGGCACCTCTCTTGCGGCTACCGGTGGCAAGTTCACCGTAAAACACGATCTTGGGGAGGCGGTGATCCTTCATTCTAGAGACGTGCCCTGCCCAGCGCAGCTGCAGTTTCAGCAATGTGGCCTCGATGCTGGTGACCCCTGCCTGTTCGAGGACAGTGACATTAGACACATAGTCAGTCCAATGGATGTTTAGAATTGTACGGAGGCAGCGCTGATGAAAGCGTTCCAGGAGTCGCAGGTGATGACGGTAGATGACCCATGATTCAGACCCATATAAAAGAGTAGACAATACAATGGCTCTGTAGACACTGATCTTTGTACTTTTCTTCAGGTGTTTATTGCACCAGACTCTTTTATGGAGTTTTCCAAAGGCTCTATATGCCTTTGCTATTCTGTTGTCTATCTCTTTGTCGATCGTGGCATCCGAGGAAATGATGCTTCCCAGATAGCTGAACTGCTGAACTGTCTTAAGCTCTGACTCGCCGATGGTAATATGGGGATGGCGATAATCTCCTTGGGGTGCAGGTTGGTAGTGAACTACTGTCTTCTTCAAGCTGACTTCCAGCCCAAAAACCTCAGCCGCCTCC